ACGAACCCACCAACAGCCGGGTGGGACAGCACAGCCACTTGAGGTGCCCACCCGATTACTTTTCCGATACCACGAGTTCTTTCTAGAAAACCTGTTTGAGATCAAATTTAAATAAGAAAATACATGTACTCTTTCTCTAACCATTTTCGATTGAACTAAGGTAAATTTTATTTTGATCAAAATTCGTCAAGAAAACTCGCCTTTTATTCCAGTTTTTGCACTTGATACCAATTCATTAGTTTTTCTAATCGAACGTTTACTTGATAGGCCTACCACGTCAGATTATTGTCTTTCGGGGATCCATTATTGCTCCTCTTTATAAATCATTTATAAATTTGTAATACTTAAATATAATTTGAATAATTATGTGCCTAAAGTTTAAAACTTAAACTTATAGACGGGTGGATGAAAAAACCTGGCGGCAGAACTTCCTCGGGATTTTCATAATCATTTGGAGAACCCACTGTGCCATCCGTTGGCGGCCGCCGTAAAGACCATAAGAATCTATAACCGGAGCGTTCGAGTGCTGCAGCTATCTCCTTGACTTGTTCCTCACCAAACCTTCCCCAACTTCCGAAGCACAAAAACACCACCGAAGACACAGGCTGATTGTCCAACCACCTCCTTATGCTCTCATCTTCATCAGAATGATGCTTAAGATTGATCAGAGGCCCAATCGGATAAACCGGCGGGTTCTTGCCATCTGACAGAAGGGCTTTAATTGGATTTGTCTCAAGCTCCATAAATGTGTTAACTATAATTCCTTTGGAACCTCGGATTCTCCGAGCAATATACATGTCTAAAAAGAAAGTACGACGTTTATCGAGCATTCCAGAAGGCAAAATCTTGGCTGGAACTTGATTCTGAAAACCTGGTATCAACAATTCTTTGTCAGTATCCTTGTACTCAGTGATGTCCTGCTTGAACTCGTCAGTAATAGTTTGGACCCGTAACATGACGGATAGAAATCCTGCGGAGGAAGTAAAAAACACGTAACTCGGAATCTTGAACTCATCGGCTACATCAATCATGCTTACACAGAACAAGTCGACCATAAATCCAACAACCTGGGAAGACTCGAACTTTATGATTTCAAGCACTGCTTCTCTCACTAGAGGCTTTTGACTGCAGATAAATTCAGTAACGAATGCAGAAGGATTTTTTAGGTTGAGTTCTTGGGTGCAATCGGGTTGAGTTCGGCTAAGGTTGGTGAATCGGAGGCGGGGAGTAGTGGCCGAGGACAGAGATTGTGTATAGTTGTAAAGGGCTTTGTCATTAGGAACCATATCTATGAGAAGATATGTAATAGAGAGATATTGGTGGCGGCCGAGGATTTTCCGTCCAGTTTCCACGGCGGAGATAAGGTGGCCTAACCCGGGACCGGGGATGAACACCAGCTCTTTTGTTTTTTCCATTGTTTTTTGCAAACAGAAATTTTCTTTCTGAATGTGATGTAATTTATAATGACATTTTTGTTTCTAGTTTGTGTGCTAAATGCACAA